TATTAGCCAATGCCCCTCAAGCTGACAGAGTTGCGGTCGTTCTTAGGCCTGGCTAACTATTATAGGAAGTTGTCAGGAACTTCTCCACCATCGCTGCACCCCTTCGCAAGCAATCTGGAAGTGGGATAAAGACTATACATCAGCCCTGAAGAAATTGAAGCGGGCTTTGATAGAGTATCCAGTCCTTAAGGTAGCCGATCCGTCCTTGCCTTTTGTTGTTACCACTGACGCGAGTCAGTATGGCATAGATGTTGTCTTACAGCAATGCGATGACAATGGGTATAGGCCCATAGAGTTCATGTCTGCCAGAATGCCTTCAGAGAAGGTAGCGACATCCACCTACGCGAGGGAACTCTACGCTCTCAAGCAAGCACTAGAGCACACGAAGCATTACTTGCTTGGGAGATACTTCTAAGTCTCTTCAGACCACGAGACTTTAAGGTGGTTGAAGACACAGGCCACGATGACACCTAAACTTACTAGGTGGGCCGCAGAGTTAGATCAGTATGACTTTGAACTTAAGCCAGTCAAAGGGAAGTATAATGTAGTTGCGGACGCTCTAAGTAGGAGAGCGGATTACTTTGGAGCGATAGTTCACTATCTGGACATAGGGAGAGACCTGCAGCAGAAAGTTAGAGAAGCATATGCGCAGGATCCTATTTATAGTGACCTCAAGAGAGTTAGGGAGGCTCCAGAGTCTGAACCAGATTACCGCACTACTGATGGTTTACTATTCGAGAAGACTAACGCAGTTGACCATCTGTGCGTTCCTAACAGTGAGGAGATCCGTAGTTTGATCTTAGGGGAATGCCACGACACAAAGGGACACTTTGGTTGGCAAAAGACACTAGCCAACCTCATGCGCGCGTATATCTAGCCCGGAATGAAGGCCGACTGCATAGAGTATGTACGCAGTTGTAAAGTCTGTAAGAGAAATAAGACTACTATGCGAGCCCCTCTTGGTCTTCTTAGACCCTTGCCTATTCCTGACAGACCCGAAGATTCTGTGTCCATTGACTTTATGGATGTTGGGGTCAAGAGTAGGCATGGCAAAAGTCAAGTCATGGTCATAGTGGATAGGTTTAGCAAGTGTGCAGTTTTTATTCCCTTGCCTGCAGAAGCACGAACAGACTTAGTAGTTCGAAAGTTCTTCGACCATTGGGTCAGCGAGCATGGTATACCGTTGTCAATAGTTAGTGACAGAAACACCAACCAGTCAGAACTGGCAGGAACTGATGAAAGTTTATGGTTCAAAGTTGTTGATGTCATCTGGCCGTCATCCTGAAACTAACGGTCAGACTGAACAGATGAACAAACTCCTGCAACAAGTTCTTCGAATGTACATTAGGCCCGATCAGATTAACTGGGATGAGATGCTTCCAAAGGTATCCAATGCATACAATAACAACGTGCACTTAGCCACATGTCACACTCCCAACAAACTGCACAAGTCTTTTAAACCGCGCAGACCATTTGAGGGACTTAACCGGGATCAGATTCAGAGGCGACAACCTGGTACACGAGAGTTTGCGATACAACACGAGAAAGAGATAGCTACCGTTGTAGATAACTTTTGGAAAGCTCTCGTGTCAGGCACAAAGAGATTTGGCTTTTCAGGACTGTAGCAGCTACGACCTTGACCTTTGAGGACTGTAGCAGCTACGACCTTGACCTTTCAGAACTACAACAACTATGACCCCTATTTCGACAGGCCTAAGGTTCAAGACCCAACAACTACTCAAACCTACGATAGACAACTTTCAAGTTTCAACTACTAACACACAGGTCACGGGTTCAAGACACACAGGCTCGATTTGATACTGTACACAGGTAACGTAAGGTAAGACTAAGGTCTGGGGATCGAGCCCTGGGTTCTGCATCTGTGACTACAAAAGGTGAAAACCGTTTCACTTCCTTGCTATTTTTTTTTCCCCTCCATCATTTTCTTCTTCTTTTTTTTTCCCTCCTTCTTCGGGCAATTCAGCGGTGGTGGTCACTGGTCAGACACAGACACAGAGAGAATTCGGAGGTGGTGGTCAGACAGACACACACACACACACACACACACACACAGAGAGAGAGAGAGAGAGAGAGAGAGAGAGAGAGAGAGAGAGAGAGAGAGAGAGAGAGAG